AGTGCACAAGAACCAGGGATTGCCTCCACGGTTTGAGGTGCCGTATCCGTCGTAAACATCCTCGGGGTATCGACCAAGGCCAGTGCCTTCAAAAGAATCTTCTTCCATGTCGTCATCCTGGTCGTCGTTGGAAGGGCTGCTATTGATCGGGAAACGATCGCGTTGGTCGCGAGTCAAAGCCAGCAGCGACATGAGCATCTCGTCAGACCATGGTGGATATACAACACTACTTTCGGAATCGCTTGCGGGTAGAGCGTGGAGCGAGCCAAGGAGCAACCCACAGTCCAATCCGCTGCGCTGGCTTGACAGTGTCTCAACAAGATGGCCTCTCTGTGCATCCCAGAACTTGCCGAGGAAAGCCTCGATGTACCCAGCTTGCTCCTCGTACCAGGCCGCTGCACCCATGTCTCCGAATGTCCTTGCAAGGTCGGTGCCTTCCCTCAAGCTTCTTGCGCTGACCATCAGATTGAAGAAGTGCAAACCCTCAACTTCTTCCCAAAGATCGAAGCTCGACTGGTTCCAGAAGTGACTGACGTACTCCAGGTCGGCCTTGATGACACTACGTGGAGGCATCTCCACGGCATAGTATGGTCGGAAGAAGTCTTCAGCTGACTCTGAGCTCCAAAGCAGAGGATGTGAGGCATTGTATTCTCGTAGATAGTGCATGAGAGTCAACGCGCGCAGGGCCGGGCCATCCCGCTGAGGGCGTCCCCATGAGCCAGTAAACGGTGTTCCGTCTACGTGAAACTTAGGCTCACCAAGCCCAGAGAGATCGTCAAAGGTACCGGAAGGGTTTGAGGTATGCTGGATATCGCTTGAGAGGGAGGTATATGCGTCGAGGATGGTAGAGAGTGCGGACCCGCGAGAAGAGGACGGTTCGTCGGCGTAGACATCTACGAGGGTGTTCATAGTGATGGCAGCATCACGAACCCCTGTTCGAAGTGTGTTAGTAGACGCTCAGTGGCAACCATGGGTCGGGTGCAACTTACACTGAAACCAATAATCTGGTCCATCCTGACTCGGACTCGCAACAACCGTGCCATCCGCTACGCCCTTCCCTTGAACATTGCTGCCACCGGGTGCGACGTTTGTCAGGAGTTTGTCCAGAGCTATGCGCTCTTCCTTCTCGATCCACGCATCGAACGTGTCTTGCAGTGGTTGTTGCTGTGTTTGTGTTCGACTGGCGCCAACGAAAGTACTCAGCGGAGGGAGACGCGGTATCGAGAAGGCATAGGCGTGGTGGAGGAAGCCTGCAAGGAGGAGTACGCGAGGAAGCATGGCAGCCGACTGTCGGATTGGCTGGGTAGGGCCGATGGACTAGGACACTGGAAGAAGTGTAGTGTAGTTAGCAGTTCATAACTAGCGCACAGTGGAGCAGAAAACAAAATGAGGAAGCAGAAAAGAGATCTCGTGGAGCCTAGGTGTTAGTAGTCGATCAAAGAGACACAAGAGCCGCCCATGGCCCCCGAGGCCCCAGGCGTCCATGCTTTGCGCTTCGGCGGTCATCCCTTTCATCGGCCATGATTCTCGATCACGATGATGACGGTAAGTCGCGTGCCAGGACTAGCGGAGTGCGTGGACGAGTAGGAGGCGGTGGACGGGGTCGCGCGGGCGGTCAATTGTCTTGTTTGACATGGCGGGTGATGTGTAAAATGCCACGCGAGCCGACGCCAACAACGTCACGCGACCCACTTCCGCGGATCTGGGGTAAGCATGCAAGGCACCTTCTGGCTGGGCGTGCGACACGAAAACATGCCGAGGTCTGCGCATAGTCCCACATGAAATTCGGATTTGAACACAAGAAGTAAATGATGTCGACAGATAATACAGTGTCATTCAACGACTGCTTTGCCCTTTGGTTGACTCGTGGCATGATACTTCTCCTTGTCTAGATCATGCCGAGGTACTACGGACTGCTCATCATACAAACTAGCTGAAGCGCGTCAGCTCTGGCCGATGTCTGTCGGCCATCGGTTGGGAATCGTAAGAAAACACCATGATATGAGATGGCTATAGCCCGTATCGACAACTTGAGATGGATTCCGACGTTCTCCGAGGTCCGGACGTATGAGGGGTCCAGTCGGCTACTTGCATGTAGCCGCAATGCACGTCGGTTGTTCCTGTCACCTCTGAGCTCATCAAAGTATCATCTATCCTAACCAGACACTCGAATTGTGCAAAGACGGTAGGGTTGTTCTTCATCATCACTTTATTTCTCTAGTCCGCGACTGGGACTTGGTTCGCGGTTATTTCGACGGTTCTTTCCCTGGAAGTATTGGGGTCTATGACGTTCAATTGACAGCTCCGACACTTCCCATCCAGTATGCTATCACAGCAAGCGCGAGTGTTGCGCAACGTTCGGTCGGCGCGAAAACCTGGCCAACGGATACCCTGTGCTACTTTTTCGGCCTCTTCACGATACAGCAACTACGATGACACCGTTCAGAATCTCAAGATCGGATCACACACTCGCGTTATATTCCAAGGATTCACCGGCAAGCAAGCTACTGCAAATGCAAAAGAGTCGATAGCATGGGGCACGAACGTTGTCGGCGGCGTAAAGCCGAATGGTTCAGGCGAGCATCTTGGGCTGCCTGTCCTGCCATCTGTGAGGGCTGCAATGGAACAGCTAAGACCTGATGCAACGGGTATCTATGTCGCAGCACACCAAGCAACCGCTGCAATTGAAGAGGCGATCGAAGCCGAGGTGCCGCTCATCGTTGCAGTCGCGGAGCATATTCCGTTGCATGATATGATGAGGATACATTCCATGCTACAGTCGCAGTCCAAGTCGCGGCTCGTAGGTGCCAACGCTCCAGGAATAATCTCCGCGATTGGAAGATGCAGAATTGGATTTCAACCACTTCCCACGTTCTCTCCCGGACACATCGGCATTGTGGCGAAATCTGGGACTCTCTCATACGAAACCGTTGGATCTCTGACAAGAGCTGGTGTTGGACAAAGTCTTTGTATCGCAGTAGGGGGTGACGTGGTGGCTGGGACCAACTTCGTTGACGCGTTGAAAGTTTTCGAGGGTGATGAGGATACAGAGGCTATCATCATCGTTGGTGAGCTAGGCGGTACAACAGAAGAGGAGGCAGCGGACTGGATCAAAGATTACCGAAAGCGTGTTAAGAGCCCGAAACCCATCGCTGCTGTCATTGGAGGCTTTGAAGCTCCACCCGGTAAGGTTATGGGACATGCAGGAGCCTGGGTTGGTCTAGGAGAGGGAACTGCAGCTTCAAAGTACAAAGCGCTGGAGGATGCCGGTGTGACTATTGTAGATCACCCTGCCAAATTTGGCGGTGTGATGAAAGACATTCTTGCCAAGTCCGGTCGCAATGTGAGGAAAATTGTATGTTGAAAGTGACGGGAGACCTAAGAAATGGACACTGACATCGACCAGGAGCAATCAGCAGCTCAACAGCGTCGTTCGTATCACACTTCAAGCTTCACACGGCGGCCTATCATTCCCACCAGACCATCGATCCCACTCCAGCAAAGACGCTCTCTCCACCTTACCAAGGACCAGTCTATGAACCTTCTCGCGACATACAAAATTGACCTGACAACACCACCAGAGGGCTCGCCTTCGACACACTACCTAGGCATTTCCCCACACCGCTCAGCACGCAGTCCCTCAATCATAGCATCACCCACCGCAAACCCTGCCAAACTGAACCAACGCGTCCGCCGTTTCCCCTTCGACTACCGTTCTGGTCCCAGTAAAGAAGTCATCCAATCCGCCATCGCACACATGCAACTGGACGCCGTCCCACCAATGGCCAAAGCCCAAACCGTCGAGTTGATCAATAACCTCTGGAAATTGTACAAAGAGAAAGAAGCAATCGATGCCCACGTCAAAGTCGCTTTATCCGTCGAAAGCGACGAGATACTCATCTACGAACCGTACTTGTTCTTCGACGACGCAGCCTTCAAATCCGGCAAAAGACAGGCTGATCTCCACGCTCTCCGTGACCAAGAGTGTGTTTCAGCAACAGATCGAGAGGCTGAAGAAGCCGGTATCGTGTACATACCGCTGGGGTCTCCTGAATTTCCGCCGGGGACTAGTCAGGCGGAAACACAGACGCCGCCGTCTTCTACAACAGAAGAGGGACCGCGGAACTTGATCGGAACTTTGGTGAATGGCGCTGGACTGGCGCTCAATACTATTGATACGCTGTCTCTGCGGCTTTCACAGCCACCTTATTCGACTTCTGCTGCTAATTTCCTTGACACAGGCGGGAAAGCGACTTCCGGCACGATCAAAACGTCCTTCAAACTCATCCTGTCCGATCCCCGGGTATCGGTTGTGTTTGTAAATATCTTTGGAGGGCTGACGTTGTGCGACATGATTGCCGAGGGTATCATTATGGCATTCAAGGAGATTGGGGTGGAGAAACCAGTGGTCGTCAGACTGAGAGGGACGAACGAGGAGAAAGGGCAAAAGGTACTGGAAGAAGCCAAACTGCCCATCCATGCCTTCGACGACTTTGAAGAGGCGGTCAAGAAAGTGGGAGAACTAGCTAATGCGAGCGGAACAAAGTGAGGACTAGCTTCATAGACACACGGATATATTTACATTGGCAACAGTGAAAATAGGGGGGGATATCAGATTAAAATACTCTACTGTTGACCACCCGGACAACCCAGTCTCTGCATTCACACAAGAACGAATGTGTTGCCGCTCCCGCCACTGAGCACAAGTCCCTGAAAAGTTCATTTTTCTTTCCAAAAGGGAGCCAGCCACCGTTTGTCCTTTCGTGCAATAGCGTACAAGCCTCCTCCCTGTACGCCTGTAAAAAAAAGATGAGAGAAAATTTGGGTGGTGGTGGTGGTATCTGCGAACAAATCGAAATGAAGTAAAGCACGTTGGAACTCAAGCGCGGGGGGCGAGCCTCCAAATACCCAAAACATGCGCGAGACCGTATGGTTCAAGGAAAATGGTGGTGAGCCTATGCAAGGTATTGGAAGGCGGTGCTTAGTATCGTTAGCTGTGCTCAGATTTGAATGTGTGAAGTGGAGATATACCCTATGATTGCCATGACACCCATACCAACAAGTGCTCTCCGTGTGACCTTCTCCTTGGTCAACTTCTGCTCGGTGGTGTAAGCAACCTTTGCAAGTTTGCTCATACGCTCGGCGGCGAGATCTTCCGCCTCCAAAACGTCCTCAATGCCACGCTTTGTCGACTTGGTGACATTGGCTGACGAGTCGCCTTCTAGCCGTTGTGCTTCTGCGACCATGCGCTTGGCCTCCTCGATCATGGCGGTAGGATCTTCTGGCTCGGGAAGCGCAGCATGGCTGTGAGGGACATCGACGGTGACGTTGGTGCTGGTCTTCTCAGTGTCGCCATTTGTCTCCACGGTCTGCTCGACTTCAATATGAACTGTGCCCTCCTTGACGTCTGGCTCGGTCTTGGGCTCAGACACTGCCTCCTTCTCCTTCACATCGCCATCGACGGATGATGCGACTGACTCAGAAGGTGTGGTACCGTTCGCAATGATTGCTTGCAGAGCGCTTGATGGGGTGACAGCCTCATCGGCCTTGGTAAGGTCAGGCTTCATCGCGCTTCTTGTGGCTCGCGACTTTCGTGGAGTCGCAAACTTTCGGCTGCTGGGGGTTGCGCCTCGGCTAGGTGATACAGATCGAGCCGAGCGGGCGCGAGTTGTGCGAAGACCGGGTGCGGGGAGAGTGACGGGTGTGGCGTTTGCGACGTCAAACTTTGGGGGCATTTGGATATGCGTGTTTGATTTGTCCTTGTTGCCCTTTTCGATCGGCGCGGGGTCTAGAAGTGCCTCAATCCAATGGCGCATGGAATATTCATCGGACAACGCGAGAGCTAAAGTGACCTTTGTTTAGCGCGAGTTTTCGAGAATAGGTGAAGGTAAGTTACTCACCCTCTTCAGGCGCAATCCATACGCTTCCAGCAACCTCTTCGGCGCCTGCAGAAGGGAATGTCTTTTGGTACTTGCGCTCCATATCCTCCTCTACGACCGAAGCCCAAGGGAATGCAGCCTTGAACATGCCTGTCGCACTAATGTAGCCATCGCTGCTGCGTCGCTGTTTGTCGTGTTAGTCGCATCCTGAGCGAAATCTTGCGGCTTCTTTTTCAATAACGCGTACCATCAGAAAGTAAGATTCAGGGAAAGCCGAGGTCTTGTTCAATGTGAAGATGCCGGATCCTGTCAAGTCCTTTGGCAGCGGAACCCTCAGATGCGCGTAATCAAACGTGCCCATGTTCTCCGGCTTGGTCGCATTGGTGAGACCGCTGACGCCGGGCTTTACGCCGAGGTTTGTCTGTCCTAGTCGGCGCCTCTCGATGAGAATCTCAACTGCGCGCAATGGTTAGATGACTGGTCGCAATGACGCGATGCGCAACGTATACGTACTGGCTGTGGATTCGGTGGGCTCGAGAAGAGGATTCTTCCTCTCGGGCAGGTTGCGGTGGGAGACCATTTTGGAAGTGTTGCCGGTTGGTCTTGAGGTTTGGCCTGATGTGCGCGTAGAGATATAACGCGTGTTGTCGATGAATGGAGCGCGCAGCGCAAAGGTGGTTGCGTGAAGATTTGACGGTTCCGTCCACGTATGACGCGCGCAATCGTCAGTAACAATGTACTGGCGGACCGAGTCGCGCGACGAGTGAAGACAGCTGAGTGTCGAATCGAGACGGGATGGCGACGTGGGCGAGGGCGTGGTGAAAGCGCGCAATCGACGTGATGAAAGGTGGTGCGATGCGACGGAGGCGGACAGGAAGGAGCGATGGGTGCTATCCCTGTGCACTAGCGCTCCCAGAACGAAGACGCCCAGCCACCCCGGACAGTGTGCGCGAACGCAAAAGTTTCGCGGCAACCCTTTCTAGTGTATTTGCAATGCTGGTAGTGCTTACCGATTGGCCGTGCCGATATTGTCATGGCATAGCAGGCCCGAAGAAGCGTCGCCTGTCTTTCCACGGGCTCAATGGGGAAAGCGCTCAAAGTCACGCGTTTCCGCTCTTCTCTCGTGACGCGTTGCTGTGGACAGCACCTGGGCATCACCTTTCCACCCCCAAACACGGCGAGCAATGCTCCCACTCGGTCAATGCAGCCTCGATTGATGCAGTTTCGAGAGAATGTCGGCGGCTAGGATGGCTCATTGGATTCGTGATCATTGGTCGCGCGCGGCAATACATCTTCACAACTAATTGAGGCGCCCAAAGTGACGGTATGCTCAAATCGCAAACCAGCTACAAAGACGATTTTTGTTCCACATTGGTTCTTGCCTGGGCATCACCTGGTACTATCCCTTTAGGGATAGGGGTTACTAGTAACGTTACTAGTTGTTACTAGCTGCTTAGTAATAGCTTATTACTTAAATAACTAGCTTAATATTAACTTTAAGCTTTTATTTTTTTTATATTATAAAAGCTAAAGCTATTTACTATATAACTTCTAAATATTAAGCTATTTAAATAAAAATTAGCTATTATAAGAGAAGATTATACTTAATATATTATTATTAAATTAGGTATTCTTAACCTTTATACGCTGCGTAGCTTTAATAAGCTATTAAGCGCTAGCTCTACGCAATACGTAATAAGCGTAATTTACTCTACTATATATCTTTTCTATCTAAGAGCTTAGCTCTATTAAGTAACTATACTAATATATATAAAACTTTATTATATATAATTACTTTCTACTTACTTTAATAATTTACTAGCGTAGTAAGCTACTTTAAAACTAAAAAGAGAAGCCTTAGTTACTTTACTAACTTATTAAAGCTAGTAGAAGACTCTCTATAGTATTCTATATCTTAGCTTAGTCTAACCTAATAGTAAATAACTAAAAATAACTCTAAGTGTTTTTATTATTCTTCTCTATAAGCTTCTACTTTCTAGCTTCTTAGCTTTAACTATATAGCTAGACTTTAGTTTTTTTATTAAAAGCTCTAATACTATATAGATAGTAAAGAGAAAGTTATTAAGAAGAACTAAAGTCTAGAAAAGAGCTAATAGCTTATTAAGACTTAGAGAATACTAAGTTAATTATAAGATATACTATAATAAGTATATAGTAGTAAGACTAGAATTACTAAGTATAAGAAGCCTTTAATAACTTAAGCTATTATCTATATAACTTACTAGCTAGCTACTATAATACTAGAAAAGCTACTTTTCTACTAAAGAAGCTACTATTATATTTAAGCTACTATTTAGATAAGTTTTTACGTAAGTAGCTATAACACTAAAAAGGCTAGCGTCTCTATTAGAGAAGCTACTATTATATTTAAGCTATTATTTAAATAAGTCTCTAAATAAGTAGTAGTAATACTAAAAAGACTAGTATCTCTATTAGAGAAGCTACTATTATATTTAAGCTATTATTTAAATAAGTCTTTAGGTAAGTAGCTATAATACTAAAAAAGCTAGTATCTCTATTAGAGAAGCTATTATTATATTTAAGCTATTATTTAAATAAGCCTCTAGGCTATTAGATAGCTTATACTACTAGTAGTCTTAATAGCTTAGTAGCTCTATTCTTATAGCCTAAGGTAAATAGCGTATTCTATACTTTTACTTCTATAGCTTTACCTTTCTAAACGCCTTTAAAAAGGCCTTTATACGTAATATTTACTACTACTTAGTTTTATATACTTAATAATATAATAGTTAAAGCTTTACTTAATACTACTCTTTTCTTACTCTCTATTCTACTACTTATAAGATATCTAATAATATAGTACTTTACGCGTTTATTAAGGCTAGAAAAGTAGTATAATAAAATAAAGTAAAAATCTCTTTTACTATTTATATTATATTTATAAAAACCTCTTAAGTAGGCTACGCGCTTTTATATTTTAGTCTCTACTTTCTCTATAGAGGTATATAAACTATCTATCTAATACTCTTTTCTACTTTATTTTCTTATCTCTTTTTAACTTTTTCTTATTCTACTCTACTACTTATTTATTAAATATATTCTTTAATCTCTATACTATAGCTTTATCTAGTAAGATAACTACTATAATATTTAGTCTTAATATTAATACTCTATATAAGAGTAGTAGTAGTAGTAGTAGTAGTAAAAAGCTTTCTAGTAGTAGTTATAGTAGTAATATTAGTTCTACAGCTTCTTCTACTTTAAAGAGAGAGTCTCTAGTTATAATAATAATAAAGCTTAGTAAGTACCTCTATAACCTATTAAGTACTATCTAGCTAATATACTTCTAGTTTCTACTTTTCTTATAATAACTACTAGTACTAATAGTAATCTTACCTATAATATAGCTAATACCTTTACTAACTATCTATATACTAATTCTACTTTTTAATTCTTTACCTATATTTATAAAATTACTAAAATCTATTTAAGAGTTCTAAATAGTAATACTAGCGTAGCTAGTAATAGCTTCTATATTTCTCTTAGTATAGGTAGCGTAAACTCTAGTAAGTGTTTATTTAACTTCTTTTACTATATAGATTACTAGTATATCTTAGATAATAATAGCCTTATAATTAACCTTTAGAAGCTTACTATACTAGCTAAAATATAGAACTTCTATAATTAGGCTATAGAGTATAGTATTAATACTAGTAGTACTATTAGGCTTTATAGAAACTATCTTACTACTTTTCTTCTATACTTTATTAATAACGCCTATTATTATATAGCCTTAGATAACTATAATAATACTAACTACGCTTATAACTACTATTTTAAAAAAAGTTAGATCTATACTTTAGTTCTAGATTATAATAGAAAGACACTCTTAGGTAGCTACTATATCTTATACTAGGTTAGAAATAAGCGTAAATATTCTTTTAGTAAGTTTCTTCTATAACTTATTAAGGCTTAGGCTAACTTATTATTTTCTTTTTAAAACTAGTCTATTCTATTATAGCTTCTATAAGTTTCTAAGCTACTAGTTATAATTCTCTTTTTAGTAAGCTAACTAAGAGTAATAACTTTTATAAAGGCTAGATTAAGTACTATACTAACTTTCTACTCTCTAAAAGTATAACTACCTCTTTTACTCTTAAAAGAAGAACGCGCGCTAATAAAGTTAATAATCTTACTAACTAAGTTTACTAAACTTTTAGAGCTAAAGCTATAGCTTTATTAAGAACTTCTACTATAAAAGTAGACTATTATACTAGCTAGTAGACTAGCTTTTATATAGCTTAGAATGCGTATACTTAGATAATAAACTATCTTTAATAATATACTACTAATTCTTCTAGTATTACTCTAGTAATACTAGAGAAGTAAAGCTTTTATTAATTAGCTTTAGGCCTTAATTATATAGTTAGTAAACTTTAGTCTTTTTAGAAGGTTAGCTAGTATAAATTCTCTAGCGTAGAGTGTCTAGAGCTTAATATTACTTATATGCTTAGTATTAACTTCTACTAAGATATTAAAACTAATAGTAGTATAGGTTAGTTTTCTAAGCCTATAGTCTTTATATCTAGCTTTTTAATTCTACTAGCTATTAGTAAGGCTTTAGATAAACTAGTAGCTTAAGCTATTAGTCTCTATATAATTTAGAATTACTCTTCTTCTTTAGAAAAAGAGAATAATAGTAATTATAATAAGTTATATATAGATCTATTCTATAATAATTCTATTAAGTACGCTTCTACTAGTTAAGCTCTCTTAGCTTATAATTCTAATTCTTCTATAAGCGCTTCTTCTAGCTCTCTAGCTTAGTTTTAGACTACTTTTTTTTCTAGCTTTAGTAGTTCTTCTAAATAAATTATCTATTAGACTAGATTCTTTTTTAGGCCTTTATCTACTAATCTTACTTCTACTTCTACTAGTCTTTCTAAGTTATTAAGGTATACTTTAGTAAGCTTTCTAAGCTATAATCTTACTACTTTTAGTAATATCTTAGACCTTAATTTTAACTTATCTAATGTTTTTATTAGCTTTAATACTTTTACCTCTAGTAGTTTTTTTAGTAGTTCTTCTTATAGTACTTATTCTTTTCTCTAACTAATTAACTTCTTCTATAGTAGCTTATTTTATAGCTTACTCTAGTTCTTACTTACTTACTCTAAAGAACTTAGTACTACTTTTTAGTATAGTTTTTAGTTTTTCTTTTTTTATAAACTTCTATCTTTATAAAAAAAGCGCTCTTTAAGTTTATTAAAGTATAGTAATATAGGTAAAGTATCTTTACCTACTAATAATAAAAATAGAAAGAAGAAGAAAAAGTAGCGTACTTAGTATAGTTACTATTACTATATTTTTATTTTATACTTATCTTAAAATTAGAGAAGCTTATAGTTATAAGCTTTTAGATTATTTTCTAGTTTTAGACCTAAAAGCTTATTAAGCCTACTAGTAGTGTTTATAAAAGCTTTTTATTTTTTCTTTTTCTCTTACTTTTTCTTATAAAATTCTAATAACTCTAAAAAAACTTATAAAATCTATTACTACTATCTACTACTTTGTACTTATCTATCTTACTAACTACTT